CACTGCTTCCGTGACCCTTTCACCTCACAGACCCCTGGCACTGTCTGGTGGAAATTTTCCAAAGTGGGATCTACATGGATTTCTAAAGATGTTTCCAAGTAAGCAGACATGAGTAGGCTTGAGCTGGGAAACCAAGAGCAGGAAATGCTCTATGGATAAAATAGATAAAGAAACGCTGCTGATGCACATGGATGAGGATGTCCCCAGACAGACCCCACTTAGGAGACACCTTTTTGTTTCAGAACCACAATATTTCTACAGATCTGTCCACAGAACCTGATTTAAACTCAAAGAATCTGGGAGCCCTTTCACTTCACTCCTAATTATGAGTATGAGATGACAGCAGCTGCCACCCTAGAGGGTTTATGTAAATTAAGACAGATTTGCAAGAAGGGCCTATTGAGGACTGAATTTTTCTTTTCAATACTTCAATTCTTCCTAAGGATTCCAGAGTGCTAGAAAGAAGTGTTGAATGCATAAACATCAAGGATCAGGAGAGTTTAACATTATCCTAACATATGAAAATGACTGTTATTCATTTTCTATAAATTATATAAATATATAATATTTATTTATACTTCTGACATTTCACAAATGTACAGTAATCTTACCATCAAAAATGGGAAATGTGGGGGCCCGCCCTGTGGCGTAGTGGTTAAGTGCATGCGCTCCGCTGCTGGTGGCTCGGGTTTGGATCCCAGACGCGCACTGACGCACTGCTTGTCAGGCCATGCTGTGGTGGTGTCCCACATAAAGTGGAGAAAGATTGGCATGGATGTCAGCCCAGGGCCAGTCTTCCTCAGCAAAAAGAGGACGATTGGCATGGATGTTAGCTCAGGGCTGATCTTCCTCACAAAAAAAAAAAAGAAAAAGGGAAATGTGCCATCATCAAAAAGAACACTTTTTTTTTTTAAATAATTTTATTTTTTATTTTTTTCCCCCAAAGCCCCAGCAGATAGTTGTATGTCATAGCTGCACATCCTTCTAGTTGCTGTATGTGGGACACGGCCTCAGCATGGCCAGAGAAGCGGTGCGTCAGTGCGCGCCCGGGATCCGAACCTGGGCTGCCAGCAGCGGAGTGCGCGCACTTAACCGCTAAGCCACGGGCCGGCCCAAAAAGAACATTCTTGTGGTAGCCATTGGAACAACACTTCTCCAGTACATACGTTAACATTAAAAAAATGAAAGAGTAATAATTTCTGTTGCTCTTTATCAAACCTCGTAGCTGTTACCATTCTTTCTGACTTTTCCATGTTGCCGGACATCTAAGCATATGGAAATGAAAACTGAACAGCAAAGTGGGCCATGAGACTTTGCAGATCATTGAAACTAAAGACTTTCAGCTACTCCTGCTAAAAAAAACTGTGATTTTTTTTCCCATTTCTCCTTTTATACTCAATTAGGATATTACTCAAAATGATACCCTCTCTCAGCACATTTCAGTTGTTCCTTGGATGACTGCCTCCAAACACCCACAGCTCTTTTTGTTGTTTCCACTGGGAGGTCATAATGGACTTGCATAGATATCACTCTACACATAGAATACACTCAGGACGAGCTGGAACAGTGCAGAGGAATCCAACTGTTTCTCTAAATGGGAGGAACTCCACAGTTTAATGGGATATATATTGCATATTCAGTCTATACAGCATGAACATGAAAATGCCAAAGACTAACATTTTATTTTTTTTAATTTTTATTTATTTATTTTTTCCCCCAAAGCCCCAGTAGATAGTTGTATGTCATAGTTGCACAGCCTTCTAGTTGCTGTATGTGGGACGTGGCCTCAGCATGGCCAGAGAAGCGGTGCGTCGGTGCGCGCCCGGGATCTGAACCCGGGCTGCCAGCAGCGGGGCGCACGCACTTAACCGGTAAGCCACGGGGCCGGCCCAAGACTAACGTTTTAAATATTTAAAGGTAAATAAAAATCCTCTCAAATGATATTAAAAACAAAAAGACAACACAAATCTGTGGCTTAAATCAATAGGAAGTCTCAAGTCTCAGATAATAATAATGACATCCTCACTTACTCCTACCTGCATAGGAAAAATATATACACACCTCAGCCTCCCTATTAGCTCAGTGTTATTTTTTTCACTTTTCTTCAAAGTGCTTATCTCCATCTCATAAGACAAGGGTTCCCCATTTGTTAATTATCTCTCTTTTCCCACAAACATAGAAGCACCAGGACTGCAAGAACTTGTCTGTTTCATGCTGCTACATCCAAATCCTACCCTGCCTTATTTCTGTTAAACTGTGTACACTGACTCTAAAGTGCATGGCATGTGAGGGATGTGGAAACATTAGCATCAAGAGCACAGTCTCTGAGAAAGAAAGGCTTGATTGGCACAGTGGCCCTGTCTCTCTTCCTTGCTGGGTTTGTAATGTCTCACAATTTACCTAAACTCAAAGGCCACAGTTGAGTCATAAGGAAGATATTAAAAATATTATGCAGTCTACTGAGAAGTGAATTTATATATTTTAACTGAGATACTTAATGATAAACAGTGTCTAATTCACTGTAGGAAACACATCAGTGTCTTGATAATAAGCAGCAAAGGCAAAGCTGTCCCAGATCAGGAGCTGCCTGCAGTCACTGCAAGGCCAAGTCCCATCCTGATGAAGAGAAAAATGTCACCCACTTCCTTCAACAATGTTACACAGTCACCAAGACAAAACTGAGGGTATTTCATAACGATACCAGTAAAAATGGTAAAAGATAAAATCCCAAATCATAAAAATGAGTAATATTCCCTACTTCTTACTAAAATGGCTGACTGGAACTACTTACAAATTAACTTTAGCTCCACTACATTGTTTTTGCCTTCTAGAAAACAATGATCAGGTTTACCAAAGATAAAATGTTTACCAAAGATAGAATTAGGTTTAACTCCTCACAGCCTTCTATACAGAAAATGACCTGCTTCCTTGAATAGCAATCGAATCCACAATCACATACCAAAATCTTGTAAGAAGTCCTTCTGAACACCCTGTTACTGTTGTACCTCAGAGTCCTTTATGGTCTGTGGTCATTCTTACTAGAATTCATTACACCCCTCTCTTGACTACAGGTGCAATCCTGCAGGTCACTGGCAAGTAGGCACTGAAAAAACCATGATTTTTAAGTTTGGGGTTAAGAACGAATGACATGGGCCGGCACCATGGCTTAGCGGTTAAGTGCACGCACTCCGCTGCTGGCAGCCCAGGTTTGGATCCCGGGCACGCACCGACGCACCGCATCTCCGGTCATGCTGAGGCGGCGTCCCACATACAGCAACTAGAAGGACATGCAACTATGACATACAACTATCTACTGGGGCTTTGGGGGAAAAAAAAAATAAATAAATAAAATTAAAAAAAAAAAATAACGAATGACAAATTACTTTCATGACAAAGATTCTATCTTTAAAGGTATAAAAAATACAGTTTGCCTAAGGAAAAAATACCTGAATTTGTACATACATGATAAAATTGACTCACCATATAAAATGATTAAATGAAGGAAATTGCAAATTATATCTGAAAATCCCTAATTAAAATAGATTTTAATATATTCTCTGAGGAAACGAAAACTATAATAATACTTAGCATACAATGGCTTAGGAAAGAGTGGAGAGAATATATTAATGAAACAAGTGCAGGAGCACTCATTTCACCAAGAAATGCATAGTCTTAATGACATACAAACAAACACTGAAAACATATTGAGGGTATAAGTTCAGCTACAAGTAACAGGAAACAAACACAGTATTCCTTACATGAAAACGTGATCCTTCTCATGTGGAAGAACTAGGTCAAGGCAGCCACTGCACAATACAGCAGAGAAACAAACTCCCACATCATTCTATTTATGCCCCACTGTAGATGTCATGGTGAATCAGGCAAACATGCTCACTAGCACTATTAACAGCATAAGGTGTTTCCTATACACATTAGAGCTTATTCATATATCATCTAGAGAAGAGGGGAACTAGAGAATACTCCCAACCACAAAAGTCTGAATTAGGTTCTTCGTGGACACAAAAGACCATAGAAAATTCCTAAGTCTAATGGATCTCTGATGTGAAACTTGTGAAAGTATCAGTGGAAAATATATCTCTATGAAAATGGAAATCAAAGAGCTGGTGGTGGTTTTCAAGATACTCTTGACTAGAAGGGCAATGAATCCAGAAAATGGGCTGGAAGATGGTGTCCTCAAAGCTCCTCTGTAAAGTTGTCTCTCTCCCTGTATGGTGGCTCCAAAATCTGCCTTGTTTGCTTCTGCCTTCCAAATCTCATGCAAGTGAGGCTAATGGTGAATTCCAACATGGAACCAAAAAGTGGGATGGATTTTTAAAGATCTAGTTCTTAATATTACCCTCATTGACATAATGCAATACAGGGGTGGTATGTCCAGCTCTAGGTTTTGTTGCACTATCACAGGACTCTACATAATTCAAAGGCTCTTCACCAAATACCAGTCAGAAAAAGAGCAAAGGCCCTAATATGAAAATAATAATTCCCAGGAAAGTATACTCTTTGATCAACTTGCGACACGTGATAATTTATTCCAACTATTTAATATTATGGACAATAAAAACAGGCTCCTACACCCACCACCCACAAAAACGAGGTTTCTCTAAGAAAGGAACAATATATACAATGGGTTAGGCCTATCCAGGAACTGCAATACAAGGACAGTAAGAAAATCCCAACAAATTTTATAAACTGTCATTTTTTCAATGGCCCCTTAATACAGAACAATGAATACATTATACAAAAATTAAAGATAAAATATCATTAATTGATTTAAGGAAAAACTACTACTTAGTAATCTCATATACTATTGATGAAGGATGACTTGCAGAATTACCTCACTTCAATATTCATTTCTGAAAGTACTTAGAAATCCACAATCCAATGTTGTACTTTAAGAAAGATGGCTGGTCAACACAATATATTTACAAATTTCATAGCCACTTTTTCATGTTGAAAGTTTTCTAGAACAGCCTAATTTCCATCAAGTTTTCTCATATGACTTATATTTAAATTTTTTTGGTGGGAATTTCACATATAATGACGTAAGCCATTTGAAGTCTTTCCCACATTGTTTACATTCAAGACATTTTAATCAAGTGATTTCTTTTATGCTTTCAGAAAGAACTGGGATAACATAAGTCTTTCCCACATTCATTACATTTATATGGCTTTTCCTCTAGTGTGAATTCTCACATATCCTCAAAAGTTTGCTTGACAAATAAGGGCTGTCCCACTTTCCTGCCATCCATAGGGTTTCTCTCCAGCAAGAATTCTTTCATGTCTTCAAAGAGAACTGGGAAAACCAAATGCTTTACTACATTTTGTACATTCATACAGTTTCTCTCCAGTGTGATTTCTTTTATGTATTTGGATGAGAACTGGAGGCTTTCCCATATTCTTAACATTCATAGGTTTTCACTCTAGTGTGACTTCTTTCATGTCTTCGAAGTAATGTGGGATACATGAATGCTTTCTCACATTCCTTACATTTATAACGTCTATCTCCAGTGTGAATCATCACGTGTGTTCGAAGGCTTGAGGGATCTATAAAGGCTTTCCCACATTCCTTACATTCATACGGCTTCTCTCCAGTGTGAATTCTTTCATGCACGCGAAGAGAACTGGAAGAAGTGAAGGCTTTAATGCATTTTTTACATTTATAGGGTTTCTCTCCTGTATGAATTCTTTCATGTACTCGAAGAGAACTGGTACAACTGAATGCTTTACTGCATTCTTTACATTCATAGGGTTTCTCTCCAGTGTGACTCCTTTCATGTACTCGAAATGCACTGGGAGAAATAAACACTTTCTCACACGCCTTACATTTATAAGGTCCATCTCCAGTGTGAAAGATCACGTGTGATCGAAGGCTTGAAGGAGATGTAAAGGCTTTCCCACATTCCATACATTCATAGGGTTTCTCTCCAGTATGAGTTCTTTCATGTACTTGAAGAGAACTGGGATAACAGAATGTTTTACTGCATTTTTTACATTCATAGGGTTTCCCTCTAGTGTGATATCTTTCATGTCTTCGAAGAGAAATGGAGGAAGTGAGTGCTTTATTGCACTTTTTACATTCATAGAATTTCTCTCTAGTGTGATTTCTTTCATGTATTTGGAAAACCTGAGGAGAAATAAAAGCATTATCACATTCCTTAGACACAAATGGTATTCCTCCTGTGTGAGTTCTTTTGTATTTTTTTAAGTTAGTGTGCAAACTGAAGGCTTTCCCACATTCTTTACATTCATAGGGTTTCTCTCCAGTGTGACTCCTTTCATGTATTTGAAATGAACTGGGATGAATGAAAACTTTTCCACATTCCTTACATTTATAAGGTCCATCTCCAGTGTGAGTGATCACATGTACTCGAAGGTTTGTGAGAGCAATAAAGTCTTTCCCACATTCCTTACATTTATAGGGTTTCTTTCCAGTGTGAGTTCTTCCATGCATTCGAAGAGTTCTGGGATGACTGAATGCTTTACCACAATTTTTACATTCATAGGGTTTCTCTCCAGTGTGACTCCTTTCATGTATTCGAAATGCACTAGGAGAAATAAATACTTTCTCACATTCCTTACATTTATAAGGTCCATCTCCAGTGTGACAGATCATGTGTGATCGAAGGCTTGAAGGAGATATAAAGGCTTTCTCACATTCCTTACATTCATAGGGTCTCTCCCCAGTATGAATTCTTTCATGTACTCGAAGAGAACTGGAAGAAGTGAATGCTTTACTGCATTTTTTACATTGATAGGGTTTTGCTCCAGTATGAGTTATTTCATGTTTCCGAAGAGCACTGGGAAAAGGGAAGGCTTTCCAACATTGCTTACATTTATATGGCTTCTCTCCATATTTTTGATAGTCATATGCTTTGTGTTCAGTGTGACATCTGACGTGCCTATTAAGGGATGAATGATGCATGAAGACTTTTCCACATGCACTATATTTACATGGTTTTGCTACAGTCATTTTCATATTCAGATTGAGATTTGGAGTAAGGCTGAGGGTTTCTCCACATTGACTACCCTCTTTACTTTCACAGAGTCTCAATACCATTTGACTTCTGTAAAAAATAGAAACACATTATTAATGATTTCTTTATTAATGATTTTATATTTATTATATTTATTATAACTTACAGGAAAAGTTAAGGTTTTCTGTCTCATCTGAATTCTCTGAAATTGAATATACTGAATGCTCTACAAGAAGACTTCACCCTTGCTATTATCCAAACAGTGATATTCATATATAGAGTTTATTAAAACTGTTTCCAAGTGAATTATTTTGCAAAAGCTGAACCTCTACATCACATTTCAGAAAGTATATTTGGTGAAAAATTTATAAAAATAGCTAAACTTGAAGCATGGGTTATCTGTTTTGTTTGCTTCTTTTCAAATTTCATAAGACACCAGGATTCTCACATGAGACACTATTTTCTATTGTGAGTGTGACTCACCTTTGTTTTCTCCCTTGATTTTTGTATTGATCTTCAATATCATGATTTTCCCATGTTTTTCCTGAAATGCAGACCCAGAAAGTTGATTCCAAAGTATTCGAAATTATAGAAAAAATTTAGATTCTAAGACCATGATGAGCTAATATCATTTCTACTTTGTTTACCAACATCTCCCCTTTCCACATTCCACATCTTGGAACAATGTTGATGGGCAAGAAACACTTGTTCTCTGATTGGTGAAGTGAAGGAATGCTCTCATTCTTACCTATTGAGGCCAGGTTCCTGAAGGTTTCCCACATCACATCTCTGTAGAGTTTCTTCTGTGAAGGATCCAGTAAAGCCCACTCCTCCAGGGTGAAGTTCACAGTCACATCCTCAATGGCCACTGAGTCCTAAAATATCACAAATATGTGTAGACTAGGATGCATGAGACTGACATCAGTGGGGATCTATACTCCATTTGTAGGAAGGTTACACATGGTTCTGTCATCTACAAACATTTATTCTATGATACAAGTATCAAAAACTCACTCTTCTGTGCATACTCCTCATCAATTTAACAGCATCATGAACACATGGAAGCTATTTACATATTTTTACTGTGATCATATTTCATCATATTTCTCTGTAATGGCAGGGTCAAGAGCGTGCTGGGAAATGACAGACATGCCATACAATGAAACAAATATTATAATTATGACACAAAAAAGACAGAGTACAACATCCATGAACCCTAGGACAACACTCTTTAACACAAGGTTTAAAATACATGTAATAGGAATACCTGAAGGAAAAGACAGACAGACAGTAATAGAGGAAACAAGTGAGGTAATAATCACCAAAATATCCTAAAATTAATGATAGCCAGCAAACTGCACATCCAGGAAGCTCAGAGAACATTAAACTTGGTAAACTAAAAAATGCACACCCAAAAATATCATATTCAAACTACAGAGAAATCAAAGACAGAGCATATATTGAAAAATGCAAAAGAAGAATATATTTCTGAATACATTCTCTGTCAAGCAAAATTATCCACCAAAAATAAAGGAAATATTAGGAATTTCTGAGACAAAAATTGAGGAAATTTTTCATAAGTGCACCTATTTTGAATGAAACATTCAAAAATTTATCAGAAAGAATGTAGATGATACAGATAGATGATTAGAAAAATAAAAAATGAAGATAAAATATCTTTTATATATAACAGATGATACTTGTTTAAAATAAAATTAGCAAAAATGTATTTGGTAATGAGAAGCTTAAGACAAGTGAAATAAATGACAGCAATGTGACATGGCACAGGAAAGGGAAATTGGGAATAGTGTGATATGAGGTACTTGCACACAGTGAAGTGGTATACTGTTACTTGGCAGAAAATGTGGGTTAGTTATAAATGTGTACTGAAAACTCAAGGGCAACCACTAAAAGAGCTTTTTAAAAAATGTGTAATTGATATGCTCTTAAGAGAGGAGAAACAAAAGAATCAGATAAAGTGCCCTATTTCAGCCAGAGAGTGTGGAAAAAAGGTGGAAGACAGAAAGAAGCAACAAGAGCAAGAGAAAAAAAACAGCAGAAAAGGTGCTAAATATTAATCCAACTGTATCAAAAACCACTTTAATCAACAAAAGTCTTAGTAAAATTGAAGGATATAGTAATATCAGATTTTTAAAAAACAAATTGAGTTATATACTGTCTACATGAAACCCACTTTCAATATGAAGACACAGACTGATGTAATGTAAAGGGATGGAGAAAAATGTCCCATGCCAACACAGATCAAAAGAAAGCTGGCATAGGTTTACGAATTATAGAAAAATGCAGATTTCAAACCAAGGAAATTTCAGAGATAGGGGCATTACATACTGATAAAGGTGTCTATTCTCCTAGAAGGCATAGCCATCCTTCATTTGATTGTGCATAACAACAGAGGGGTGATACACCTAAGGCAAGAGCTGATAGAATGCAAGTAGAAATAGATGAATAGTTCAATAGTTGGAGAATTCAACAACCTCTGGGGAAAAAACGACACCTTATCAAATTTGAAAGAACAGAAATCAGACAGAATATGCTCTCACACCACCTAGGCATTCACATAGAGGTGAATATCAACAAGAAAGCCAGAAAACCCCAAGTATGTGGAGATTCAACAACACATTTCAAGGGCTGGCCCCGTGGCTGAGCAGTTAAGTGTGCGTGCTCTGCTACTGGCGGCCCGGGTTCGGATCCCGGGTGCGCGCTGACACACCGCTTCTCCGGCCATGCTGAGGCCGCGTCCCACATACAGCAACTAGAAGGATGTGCAACTATGACATACAACTATCTACTGAGGCTTTGGGGAAAAAAAGGAGGAGGACTGGCAATAGATGTTAGCTCAGAGCCAGTCTTCCTCAGCAAAAAAAAGAGGAGGATTAGCATAGATGTTAGCTCAGGGCTGATCTTCCTCACACACACACAAAAAATACATTTCGAAATAATACTTAAGATCAAAGAAGTCTCAAGAGAAATGAAAAATTATTTTGAACTAAATGAAATTAAAATACAACATACTACTAAAATACAACATCCAACTTCTTGGATGAAGCAAAAGCAGTGCCAAGAGGGAAATTTGTGCCATTGAACAAATACACCAGAAAAACCAAAGATCTATAATCATTAATGTAAGCATCTACCTTAGGAAAGAATAAAAGGAAGAGCAAACTAAACCTAAAGTAAGCACAGTAAAAGAAATAATAAGAATTAGCAAAGAAATCTATGTCATTGTGGGAAATCAATGGAGAAAATGAAAACAAAAAGAGCTAGTTCTAAGACAAGACTAATAAACATGTAGTCAACCTAACAAAGAAAAGAGGGAAGACAGATATTACTAATATAAAAAAGTAAAGGAAGGGGAAATGAAAATAAAAGAGGATTTGATAAAATCCAACATTCATTTATGATAAATTAGTAATAGAGGGGAACTTGCACATCTTGAGATGGAATATCTTTATGAATCCTGTAGCTAAATTCATAACATTTGTTCCATACGGCCTAACTGTCTCTGTGAAACATCTGAAAGAATTCACAGCAGAAATAACTTCTGGAATTAATAAGCGAGTATATAAGGTTGAAAGATACGTGAGTCAATTGCTTTCCTTATAGACCCACACAAATATACTCAAGTGACCTTGGACAAAGAAGGAAAAGGAATGCAAATGAAAAAGAAAATTTTTTAAACAAATAGTGGTGGAAATAATGGATATCCACATGCAAACATACACACGCACACAATGAATGTAGACACGGGCCATATACGTTTCAAAAAATTAAGTCAAAACATATCACAAATCTAAACGTAAAATGCCAAAGGAATAAACTCTTAGAAGATAACAGAGGAGAAAATCTAGAAGACTTCAGGTTTGGAGATGAATTTTTAGATAGAAAACCAAAAACCAAGGTCCACCAAAAAAACCCACAAAAATTTACTTCATTAAAATGAAAAACTCCTCCTCTGAGAAAGTGAGTGTTAAGAGAATTAAAAAGTAACTTACAGAGGAAGAGAAAATCTTTGTAAAACACTTGTCTGATAAATAAGTGGTATCAGAAATATCCAAAGAACTCTTAAAACTCAACAGTCAGAAGACAAACAACCCAATTAGAAAAGAGGCAAAAGATCTGAACAGACAGCTCACTGAAGAAGATATATAGATGGGAAATAAGCAATACAAAAACATACTTCACATCAAATGTCCTTGGGAAATTGCAAATAAAACAACGAGGTATCATTAAACACCTATTAAATGGGTAAAATGCAAAACACTCAGAACACCAAATATTGGTGAAAATGCAAAGCTACAGGTAATCCTCATTCATTGCTGGTGGAAACAGAACTTGGTACACCTACAACGGAAGACAGGAAGTTTCTTTCAAAACAAAATACGCTGTTGCTACTTAGAGTAAGATCTAACAATAAGGTTCCTTGGATTTTTCCAAATAAGTTGAAACTTTATATTCACATAAAACATATACACATGAATGTTTATAAATTCTTTATTCATAATTGGCAAGACTTAAGAGTTTTAAACAAGATGTCCTTCAAGTGTTGAATAGATAAACAATCAGTGGTGTATCCATACAATGAAACACTGTTCAGTGATAAAAAGAAATGAGATATCAAGCCATGAAAATACACGGACGAACCTTAAAAGTATATTGCTAAGGGCAAAAAGCCAATGTGACACGGGTATGTGGTGTATGATTCCAAGTATATGACATTTTGGAAAAGACAAAAGCATGAGCCAGTAGGAAGACCTTTGGTTGTGAAGAACTTGTGGGATGGAGGGAGGGATGTATCAATAGGTGGAGACCAGAGGATTTTTAGGGAAGTGAAACCATACTCTATGACACATAAATGATGGATCCATGTTATTATACATTTACCAAAACTCATACATTATATAGCACAAAGAGTCAATGCTAATGTACACTGTGCACGGTCATGCATCAGTATGGGTTGGAAATTGTAAAAAATGTACCACAGTAATATAAAAAGTGTAAAATAGTGCAAACTGCAGATACAGAGAGAAGGGTTGTGTGGAAACTATGTGAATTTTGATCAATTTTTCTGTAAACCTGAAACTGTTCTAAAAAAGCTTAAGTCTTTCAAAAAACAGATGAAGACAGACTCATTACAATTCACCCCTGATGACTGAAACAAGACATCTTTCATTCACCTGAGTTCCATAAGCCAGTATGGTGCTCTATGAGACTGAGACCCATAAGGCAGATGAAACTTGCATTGAATGCCTTGTTGGATAGCAGGGCACTGTATACTCTGAGAGGTGCCATGGTTACTATCAGTGGTGTCAGAACTCCAACGTGGATTAACCAGTGTCCTGGTGAGTCCTTGTATTGTAGACCTAGTAATGTACAGATAAGTGTTACCTTGATTTCTGTTTTTATTATCTTTGAGTTCTTTTACCACAAAGGGTCATCTCTTAGACAATCATCCAAGTATTTGTGAACATATGCAGATGAGCCCAATTTTTGGCCAGTAGTAAGATGACTGCCTGATGTTTGGTTACCTCTGGTGACACTTGGGTTTGGTTCTTCATAAGGGATGTCCCAATTAAGGGATGAAGAACAGCAACTCTGCACTGAGCTCCATCATGTACAAATGTGTATTGTCATTAAAGGCTATGCACGCTCCAGAGCTATGCGTTCAGTTAATCCAAGGAACTCCCCAGGGAACCAAGAAGTCTGGGAGAGGGGTGACTTCCTTCATCACCACAGCATTGTTCAATGAACTGAAGAAAGGTCATGCCCCTCCTGCAGGTGGCATAAGCTCAGGGCCAAGGTTAGGCTCCTTCATATCACAAGTAAGTGTCAGTAGGTGGGCTGAGCTGGCAGGGTGCTGTTTCCAGCACCAAGGCATAATAGATGCCTTGGTAGAGTGTCACACGCTCAGTGCTTCTCAGAGACTCTCTTTTCAAGAGATCTCAGTATGAGATGATAATAGCAGCTCTAACAGCATATAGTGTGGGGACCAGGGCAGGTTCTTGCATCAGAAGCCTATGAAGAACATAAAGCCCTCCTCCTGAGAGCCTCAAATCACTACCAGCAGGGTTAGAGGACTCCTCCATGACAACTGGTTGCTTTATAACTTTTAAGGAACCCAGGCTTAAGTTGGGTTTGAACTAATCCCTTTGCTGGGCCAAACTCAGACTGTGGGTCTTGTCCACTATAACCCAGAGGGTCAGGATCTTCGTTGCAATAGACACAGGGGCAGCAGCAGCAGTTACTCAGGGGTCCTGGAGAGCCCTCTGGAATCTCCACACTTACTGGCTGCATTTTCCTGTCTTTTCTCTTTCTTTCTGAAATAATTGCTCTTTAAGGAGTACCCATCTAATGGGTTTACCTCATTCACAGAGGATAACCATCTTCATATCCCTAGGCATCCGCTAATGTTAAGGTGACCCCAGCCTCAGTCTCACCTTCATTCTAAACACACAGATAGATTCTGCCCAAGACATAGGACACAAGACCACAATAAGGATGGCCCCATTCTCATACCCCTGCTTCCAAAGGACAAGGAATTATCAAAACTGTCAACCTGGAGTCCTCTGTATATAGAACCCAGGCGTGGTGGGTGAACAGTGCACACAGGGCAGCACAGCTCACAGGAGGAGCTGCCCAGCAAGCAGCAGCTCACAGTGCAGGAGCCTCCAGGCTTTCTCATCAGCCCGTCCAGACAAGAAGGCCTAGGGGAAAGGGAGGGGTGAGGCTTAAGTTCTCAGAAGCCAAACATCAAATATGTGGACTGCGGCTACTCATTATAAGAACAAACATGGGGGGCCGGCCCCGTGGCTTAGTGGTTAAATGCGCGCGCTCCGCTGCTGGCGGCCAGGGTTCAAATCCCGGGCGCGAACCGACGCACCGCTTCTCCGGCCATGCTGAGGCCGCATCCCACATACAGCAACTAGAATGATGTGCAGCTATGACATACAACTATCTACTGGGGCTTTGGGGGAAAAAAAATAAATAAATAAAAAATTAAAAAAAAAAAAAAAAAAAGAACAAACATGGGTGCTGGGCCGGCCCCGTGGCTTAGCGGTTAAGTGCTCGCGCTCCGCTGCTGGCGACCCGGGTTCGGATCCCAGGTGAGCACCGACACATCGCTTCTCTGGCCATGTTGAGGCCGCGTCCCACATACAGCAACTAGAAGGATGTGCAACTATGACATACAACTACGTACTGGGGCTTTGGGGGGGAAAAAAAATACATATATATAAAAAAAAACAAACGGGTAAGAAAAATAGGCATTCACACTGGCTTGTTTTTATATAAACACTAACAGGATGATGAAGCAGTAATGAAAACTGGTCATTTGAGGGGGGCTGGAGTTAAGAACAGAGGAAGGAGGCAGGTTATGCAGGCAGGGAGTCTCCTTAAAGTTTCCTTAGGAAATTTTTAACCTTCTCATGCATTATTTATTTAAAATAAGGAGAGAAATTTATATACATTATTTTTTCTTATGCTTGATCATTATTTTTAACTTCTGCTTTATAAAATTAATTTTAACATTTCTACTAGGAGACTACTCCAAGATATGTAATCCCTTAAACACTAATGGATACAAAACTGCAGACAAAATTTACCAATCCCTTTCTAACAAAAAGGGCAAGGGGCATGATAGTTTGTCCCTCCACTATACTGCACACTGGGGATATTTTCAGGAAGGAGTAACATTATAAGACATTAGGGGTTTGCAATTAAGTCCTGCAATAAACTAGGAATTTGAAAGATTTACATAAGCTTTGATTTGTTTCCTCATATCACTGAAAATAGAAATTCAAGTGCTTTTTCCTCACATCCATTAACATAGGAATTCATTTGCCTTAGGAATAGTATAGCTTCTTAAATGTCAAAGATCTCTAGGGACATGGACACAAGAACTGACCTAAAATTGGAAAGTGCATGTGAGAACTTAGTACACCCATCTCACATCTTGAAGTTCTCTTGTCAAAATGGAACAAAAACTCCTATTTGGTTGAACAATTTTCTTGTCTTACATCATGTCTCTCAGTCAACTTACATCTGAAAACCCCAAGTGCTAATGGAAACTAGAATCAAAGGGCTGCCATCTTCAACTGATAAAGGAATCTAAGAAGAGAAACACAAATATATGAATCAGCTCCGAGAAGCAGCCTGCTTGCCCAGAGTTCAGAAGGAAAACCCACACTCAGAAAGATGACCATATTCCCCAAATTTAGAGTCTAAACACTGCCGGTTGAGATGTAACCTCTAGAGAGGGTCAGGCCCTGGTGGAGGAGGGTGGGGCACCTGAGCAACCACAGGAGTGAACTCTGGGAGCTCCACGCCCTCCCCTCCCCAGGGAATAATGCAAATGCTCCTTCTGATAGAAATCAACTCCCAAATTAATGGACCCTAATCCAGAACACAGAACTCGGACTTTCAAAGTTGAGTTACACTGCGAACAAGTTACACTCTGAGTGCACCTACACTGTGGATGCAAAACTCCAACTTATGTCTAGAAACAGGCCCAAGGAAACCACAGTTATAAAGTCAGAAAGGGAATCGGTGCCTTCCTCCCACCCCCATGTGCACGTGCACCCCTAGCTTTCCAGGGCTCTGCAGCTCCTCTCAGTATAGAGGTTCCTTCCATGGGGGGTGTGAGCAGTAGGACACCTGCAGGGGGAGGCTCCCCAGGAAGAACAACTGGGCCTTCAAGTCCTTCCCTGTGCAGGCCCAAAGGGGCCTTAGCTTAGATTCACTGTCCTCAGGCCTCTGTCTCCACTGGAGATTTTTTGGACCACTATTGATATTTTACACGACACAAACCCAATGTTTGATTAATCCAGCTAAAACACTCAAACCAGTCTTTATGTGGAAATAAGGGAAGACAATTGTATGGCATTTTGCTGGCACAATAAGAAACCCCACAAGAACGTATTGCATCCTGGGGGAAAAAAATGATGTTAATATAGTATTATTTCCAGGACAGGAAACTGTTTTATAAACTATTAATACTACTTGAATACTTCAGACCTGCAAGTATAAGTGGTGGAAATCTATTTAAAGTCACCCAAAATAAAAGAACAGACCTCAGAATACTACTACCCACAACGGGAGGGAAAAAGGGAAAGAAGAATTAGTACATGCAATGTAAAACTGGAATATTTTATTTTTCCTGAAATTCACCTCTTTCTTGCCTCTTTGGAAACATTTTATATTGTGTTTCACGTCGTATCCACACATAAAATCAATCTTTTACAAACAGCCACCCATTGACTGTGAGAAAATGATAAACGGCTAAAATACTGAATCTGTTTCAATCCAACAAGGAGGACAAACAGTTGATAACAATGCTGTGAATCGGAGGCAGGAAGTCGGCAATAGGGAATGTGGCGAGATTTTGGAAATTTAGGCGTTTGTGGCCAGCCCTAGGAAGACCTAGACTGGGGGGACAATGTCGTGGATTTGAAATCCTGCACCCCAAATACATGGAAAATTCAGAAGAAAATGAGTGCCACCTGAGGAGAAAAGACTGGAAACCCCACATGGTAGGAGCCCCGGAGACCGAGTCACGATTGTCCCTGATGACCCTCCCCGCGGTCACCGCACCATCTGGGGACACGCGGGGCTGCGGGCGCAGAGCTGCCCAGAGAGGCTCCGGGGCCGAAGTCGCCGCGCGCAGTGACCACAGGACGCCCGGGGTCCCGGCTGCCGGCCCCGCCCCCACGCTGCGGCCGGAGGGGACTGAGGTCCGAGCGGCGCCCCCGCGGACTCGGGTCCGCAGACTCCGGAGGTGACCGCGGGGAGGCCGGTCCCGCCACGGCCGGTTCCGACCAGCCCCTCCTCCCCTCCTCTCACCCTGGGGTGGCACACTCACCATTCCTACAGTTACTGGGTCCCCCGGCATCCTTCCTATGACTCCCGAGGTCGGTAAGGTCACAAACCGACAGAACAGGCGGCAGAGCCTTTAACGGCGGGGAGACGCGACCCACAGCGTGGCTGGAGCCCGCAGCAACTTCCGGGGCGGCTGGGGAGCTTCGCCCCACCCACCTGCCCCGGCGCCGCCTCTGATTGGACAGTCTGCAAGACTCGTCCTCTTGTGTCTGAGTGACAGCCCCCTGAGTTTAGGTGTCTGAGCAGAATGCCAGCCAGAACTCATCCCCTGCAGGGACTTTTGCGTTGAATAGTAGTGCTGGGAGGTGAGTCCTGGAACTGTGATCCCTCTTTACAAACACACACAATTGAAAGTCGCCTCACCATAGGCAATAATTAGTCTCTCCCTTTTGATCTTTGTTTTGAAAAATAGGTACACAGTCACAGACACTGTGACCAGGGAACTAAGCATAGAAAGGTGTATCCAGGATCTGATCAAAGCTAACATTATCTGTTGAGTGTTTGCAGAGGGAAAGTTTCAGGAAAAGCCCAACCACAGAAGGTTCCCACAAGCAAGCTAGGTGAAGCCAGATCTAGCCGCCTCAAACTGCTCTTAGTGAAGTGAACTGCCCCCATTATAATTTTCTTAATATATTAAATTCTCCTCCTCTGGGAGAGACCAAGCAGCCATTTCTGGATCATAAGATGTATGTAGTAGCATGTGTACATTCTACCAATGAGACTGAAAGGAACATGATCGTTACGAGATAAACCCTGATCTCCTGCCTTTTCCTTAACTGAATATTCATGAACTGTACTGTGACCTAACAATAAAAGGACTCCCCAAATCCTTGTTTGGGGAAACAGTGCTTTGGGAGGGAGCTCCAGTGTTCTCCATCGCTTGTGCAATTAATAAACCTTTCTTCACCTACTTCTGCCTTGGTTGTGTTTTTTGGCTCCACAATCACCAAGAGGTGAACCCGTTGAGTTCAGTTTCGACATCAGGAATGCATTAGGTGGGCCTCATACCAACACTTCAGTCAGATTCAGAATAAAAGCATTGGGAACAAAAACAAGCCATCATTTTAGAAGAAAATTGACTTCTGGGTATTCAGAATAGTTAACTTTAGAAAATGTTTTTCAGGGCGGCCCTGTGGCTTAGCAGTTAAGTGCACGCACTCCGCTACTTGCAGCTCCGGTTCGGATCCCCGGGGCGCACCGTCACACTGCTTGTCCGGCCATGCTGAGGCCGCGTCCCACATACAGCAACTAGCAGGATGTGCAACTATGACATACAACTATCTGCTGGGGCTTTGGGGAGAAAAAGGAGAAAAAAAGGAGGAGGATTGTCAATAGATGTTAGCTCAGGGCTGGTCTTCCTCACAAAAAAAAAAAAAAAGAGAGAAAGAAAATGTTTCTGACGTTAACATTTTTGTATCTCATAAAAAATGTAAGCAGAGACTCTTTCTCACCCGCGGTTAAATCACTCTCCATGGTCAAGACCCACCGCTTACTTGTGGTTACACTATTTAATCCACCTATAATAAGACTTACTAGAAAACTGGGTTTCATCAAAATAATCATTCTACTGATTGGTGAGTCTATGATAGTAGAGAATAATGTTCATTCTGACAATGTTGGAATCACTCTGAGACAGGCATCCTCTCCATTCAGTATGCACAGATACGTATCTGATCATTTACTCTCCCAGTTCCCTGAGGAAATTCTTACCTCTGATATCATCTTTGTCAAACAGCCCCACTCAAGTCCCCCTGAACTTCAGCAATAATTCCACCACACCCAGGGACAGAACTATTCCTGGAGGCCATCTGACAGATGGAAACTAAGGGAGAGAGCCAAAGAACCACAAGCGATCTCAAGGAAAACAGAAAAGCAAGGCCCAGTTTGCAACCAGTGCTCATCATACAAGGGGGAACACTGCTGGGCAGTAGCATCATCGATCAGTCACCCATCCAATGTAGGAAGAAAATGTCTGTGGATATTCAGCTTTGAGCATTGAGAGATGGAGAAGATATTTCCATTTCATTATCTTTTTTTCTCTTCCCTTTAAGAACTATGTGGAAAATAGTAGTCTAGAGGCAGGTTTCCTGGAAATCCCTCTGATTTCCTAAGTAAGAATGCCTTTGTTTTTTGTTTTGCCTCCAAATCCTCATCTCCACCTCAAATAAAGGACACACCATCCTAAGAATGTGCACTCACCTGGGAAGATGCACATGTCTGGCTCCACTCTCACACACTGTCAGAAACATGGTGCTGAGGAAACTACATTTCATCACTGCCCTTCCCCACCCTACTTTCATTTGCACCTGTGGGAATTGTACATTTCCAGTAGTGGCCCCATCTGGGCAGAAAATGGGGAAGTGCTTCCTGTACTGATGAATTGATAAATTATTCTACTTCTCACAGGTAATATTAGGGAAAGCCCGGCTCTTTCTTGAGGTCACAGCATGGTGCTCTCAAAGGTCCTTTAATCACGTGGTCAGCATAATAGACATGATACCTTAAGGTTGTTTTTGGTAAGAACATGTGATTCCTGTTAATCTCCATCATGGCAAACATAAGGGCCAAAATATACTTAGAGTTTTGGTGCATCTGCCTGCACTGAGGGAAGCCCTAAGAACTCAAGAATATCCTACAATATGGTCTTATAAGCCAAACAAAGAGCCGCACTTAAGAAGCACTGGGAGTTATTGTATTTATGGAGACAGATATTTTCCCCATGACCTTGAAAAACAGTTCTAATGCAATGAGTTACTCAAGGTTCCAGAAGCTGCTCTGTTGGAGGAGGTCACTGTGAGGACATGACTACTGGTTGACCCTCCAGCTGGACTCGGGCAATCAGAGGATTCTTAGCCACACCACTGTCCTTGGAATATACATTCTGCCCACTGTTCCTGAACTATGAGCCATTTGAAGGATGCAGCCTGGAGCAAATAATACGGTGTTGAGACCATCTGGACTGTAGACATTACTAGACCTTTCCAAAGCTTCTATATGACTTTTAAGATTCTGGTGGGCAGGTGTGGAGATCTACTCGTCTTGCCCTACCTAAGACAAGCCTCATATACAAGTTCTCTTGCTCATTAAAACTGCTGTCTCCCAATCTGGAATTGTCTGCCTCATTCTTCAGTCTCTCCTTGCCCTCCATGTATGGGAGCCAGTTTCACCCAGAGAACTCTTGAGGTTGTGAACCAACATGCTCTTAGCTCTGAATGAAAACAAGAGAACAATCGATCCTTCTTGTGCTGTGAAGCATAGAGTACCTTTAAATGGCACAACATCAAGATATATATTTGCACTTTAAAAGTATTTCTTCTTCATGGTCTGACTGAACTATGACATGGTGTTTGAGGTAGTAGTGGGAGGAAAGATCAATCAAATTGTTCTATCCAGTGGGAAGGCATGAATTACCAAAAACTAATTATGACAGCATTTATTTAGTGAAGAGTTCAAAGTATGGGAAAGTAAGCACCCATAGAAGAAATGAAATAGTCATCACAGAACTTTTTAAAAGGCATTAGTTCTCAGTAGTTTTACAGGCCAATTGCAATCTTACATTTCAAGGAATGATTGAGTCATCTGCAGGGTAAAATGATTCCACTGAGAGAAATTCTGCTTTCTAAGACTTCATAAGGATCACAATGAGAATGACAGTGAGAATAGTAACAGGAATGCTAAGAGTAAGAATAAAGGCACTTTAGGGAGGCTTACTAAGTGTAAGGTACTGCACTCAGCACCACAGGTGGATTGGCTCATTACTTTTCATCTTTACAAACTTCTAACAGGGAAGCACTAATACAATCCCATTTGATAAGAGAGGAAACTGAGACTTAGGGGAGCTAAGTGATTTGTCTGACTTTACATAGGTGCTCCAATTCATCACCATGACGTCTGACTCACACCAAGCTTTGCCACTGAGCACACTTCACCTCTTATTATGAAATGAGGACAAATGGCTCATTGACTAGGACAGACACCTTTGTGCAAATCAAAAACAACTTTATTCTTCCCCACTAACATTAAAATCTCCACTATGACTATATTGCCTTTGCCGTTGGTTGAAATCTGAAGCCAGTGCCATAGTATTTTTAGTCACTTTTTGGTGCTAAAATCCCCTGGTCACTTTCTGGCACGATGACTGCCAGCCCAGCTTTGTACTCATAGAAGATTTTTGGGAGCAGAGCATGACAAGGAACTGGTGAGTTAGAGGCATCCCATTGAAAGGAGGAACCAATTCAAACAACAACCAAAGAGGTTTCTTTTCACTCCAAGTATTTGTCATTGCTTTCATCTCTAACTTCGTGTCAGAAAACACAATGATCAATCTGATGAATAAGATGGAAGAAGCAAATAATGTTATTGGAGATGACAGCATTGTTTATTTCACAAGCGAAAGAGAAAATAACTGGAAAATTACTACAACTGATGAAGGAGTCAGTTTGCTGAACATTGTGCAAATACATACCTTATACATAACAACGTATACTATAAATTAAAATTACACGTCTTACAAAATACATATGAAATTTGGAGGTTTAGGATTAATGGTACATGTGGGATCTATATGCAGAGAAGTCTGAGTGTTCCCTGATGAGGTGACAGAGGCATCACCTCCATGTAAATTTATATTTAATATCAACTTTGGTGCATGGAAGACTCCTGTAGTCAAAGATGCAGATCTCTCTACACACAGGTACATTTTTAAAGACATTTCCATCAGGATCATTGTTTCTGCCTCAAAGTACTCTTATTCTAAAGTACATCTCTGAAAATAACTCCAAAGGGTATTCAGGAAACGATTGCAAACAAAGAATAAAGAAGAACAAGATTTCATCAGATGCACTAATTACAAAATTAATGAGGAGTGATATTTAATGGTCTGTTGCCACCATAAGAACTCACCAGTTGTCTGACGTAGGGGTGATTTTGCCTCTAAGAACAATTTGACAATATCTGGAGGCATTTCTGGCTGTCATGACTATGGGAGGTGGGGAGCACTGCTTCAGACATCTAGGGATCCTCTGATGCACAAAATAGTCCCCTTGACAAAGAATTTTCTCTTGT